ATGTGTAGAGTGGTGCTAAGCAACAAACAAGAAAACATAGCAATACCTGAGTTCAAACAGCAGTAGCACGACAATTGCCGCGAGGAACGGAATGAACTCATGATCAGCTGATCCTGGCAATGCCAAGGAAGGCAGCTCTGCAAGACAATTGTAACACTTCAGCAAATGTACATATAACGCGCTGACACACAGCTGGAACACTGCTTAGTGCGGCCTAAAACAACATACAAACATGAAAGAAATAATACTGTCCAACATTCTTACTTTATTAGATCCATGCTTCCTAACCTAAGCGTCCCAGCGAATTCAAGGTTGATCTATGGCATCGTATACCACTTTCGTAGATCGATACTCGTAATGTCATTTATGTATTGTCTGGTCCAGACTCTATTATTTTCAGAAATCCAAAAACTAGGTGGAATATTGTTGATAGCGGCATTAAACATCAACAAACAAGAGCAACAGGAGTGATACAGGAGTATATGATCTCTGCTTTCACAAACATGGTAAAAATGTACACCAAGTAGCCGAAGATAATGAAAAGTTTTTCATGTTGTAGACAGACTGGAGTCGGGTTTTTTAATATGGGCGCTGAGTTTTTATGATTTTGGTAGTCCCGGATATCCTAGCTGCCCTTATGTACATATCGTAGGCGTCTATCTCCAACAAGAGAAGGTTGAAAAACGAATGGATGTGACTTCGTCTTTTATATCTGCAGGTACCATTAACATGATGGACGTCGGAAATCACAGTATCATGAAACGCTAAGTCATCGACATTTTGAAGATTGAGAAAAAAAAACGCGACGAACTTGATGCGAACAAAAATTATGGTCTTCTCGCGGTTCTGAGTCACGTGCTGTCAAAATTTGATGAAGGGGCAGCCACTCTTTGAAATATGAACGTCCCTTTGAAGCTTTTAGTGATATTAGGAAAATATATTTACCATCCGTTCCGTTTCATGTGAAGTTTAACACAATATCACCGCCTTTATGTTATCAGACTTTATGGTTTAAACAAGGCGTTAAAATCCACAATAATGATGATTCACTTCTGTCTGCTTTGGGCCCTACTTCTTATTGATGACTATATGTAGAGTTCATGTCCTTCATGATAACTTTACACAGAGGCTATCCCTTGGCTAGCTACCATAATGTGTTTTATACTTTTACACTTCCTAGGTTGCAAGGCGGAAATGATGTCCACTGAATTAGTATGTCATCTGGCACAAACAGGTTCATCCCCACCAGGAACAGTGATCCTGTGCTCAAGGTTTACAAAGCCAGTTCACCCTCATCAGAAACAGCCAAGTAATCCTGTGCTCAAGGTTCACAAAGCCAGTTCACCCTCATCAGAAACAGCCAAGCTATCCTGTGCTCAAGGTTCACAAAGCCAGTTCACCCTCATCATAAACAGCCACGCATCCTGTGCTCAAGGTTCACAAAGCCAGTTCACCCTCTTCAGAAACCTAATCTGAATCAGGTTCCAAAGCCAGTTAACCCTCATCAGAAACAGCCAAGCGATCATGTACTCAGGTTCACAATGCCAGTTCACCCTCATCAGAAACAGCCAAGCGATCATGTGCTCAAGGTTCAAGGTACACCCTCAGGAAACAGCCATTTCATCCTGATCAGTTCACAAAGCCAACCCTCATCAGAAAGATCCAAGCAATGACTGTTCTGAAACAGCCATATTTTGCAGGACATGAAGAGACACAGTTCTAGTCCACGAAAAAGGTTTGTGCATACTGGTCGCCATCGCTCAATACACCAAATGCCAATGTGAGCAATATATATCGGAACACTTCTGTCCACAGAATCCCCTCTTTCAATCCAAGAAATCCCAAAGGTGCATTAGTAGACGTACACCTTCAATTTCCAGGGCACCTAAGTGAGTGAGTTTAGTTTTACGCCGCACTCAGCAATATTCCAGCTATATGGCGGCGGTCAGTAAATAATCGAGTCTGGACCAGACAATCCTGTGATCAACAGCATAAGCATCGATCAGCGCAATTGGGAACCGATGACGTGTCAACCAAGACAGCAAGCCTGACCACCCGATCCCGTCGCCTCTTACGACAAGCATGGGCATGAAGTTCATTCTAAGGACCTCACGGGTCAGGGCACCTTTCCCATTCACTGATCTTTAAAGGAGTGTAAAACATACCGGAACCCTCGAGCGTGTCCATACATTCAGAAACCTTAGACATGTGGAGGACATTTGATGCATTTATAACAAAAATAATGTCCGGTGCAGTTCCCTATTTGACTTGTAGCATAGTTCCCGAATTATTTCAGGTGAACAACTGACTAGAATTTGTATATGTGTATGACGCGTGCCACCTGGAGGCAGGATACGCTCGTCTTTTCGCGAACACCCCGGTATCATCATCATTATTTGATTTCATAAACACATGCTGTGTAATCGTATCTCATTATGTCAATCACTGGATTTTCTGGTCCAGACTCAGTTGTAAACAGACCGCCGCCATACAGCTGTAATTTTGCTGAGTGACAAGCAAACATATGCTCATAATATAACCGGAATTGTACAATCGACTCTGCTTTTAGAACATATTTCTTATGGATGTGGAAAGGGTTTTGTCGCTTATATTTACAGGTGAATCTCTGTCAGGCACTTGGATTCTTCATGGTTTAGCTAGTGTGGTCGCTTCGGTGGTCAGTGGTGGGTCCACCTCCGCCATTGTAATATAAGGAAAGACTGATCGACTTGTCTCGGTACTTCAAATTTTCCTCATGCTAAGACCAAAATATGATGTATTCATTTTGATGAATCCAAATGCTTTGCCTCGTTACCGATTTTCAAGAGTATATATCTGCATGCGACGACGGTGCACTGACTACGAAAGACGTTTTCTTTAACCTAGACAGTTGGCATGTACAAAGTATACACTTCCAGTGCTTACATACCCAGGCAGGGTGTTTCTACAAACATCATCTCTGTTGATTAAAATGGGCAAAGCTGGGTGTCAAGTCATCAAGTACCTCCAACAAAAAGAACACACTCCAAAATCTTAAAAATAAAACCGCACTCCGCCACCCCCACCCCCCACGACCATCCCACTCTCAGCCCCGTGGGGACATGGTGTCACTGATGCAAATGAGATGCTAAGCAGTCTTCAGTAGAGGAAGCGATGAACCAGGACTAGGAGGTCCCCAACTGCCTCTGAGAATGTTGGTGTACTACATGATGTGATTATGCATGATCCATGAATAACCATGGGTCACACGACCAATACAGGAGTCATCTCTCATGAGAGAGCGGAGTATAATCCGAGGAATGATCTGGACATGAAAGAGGTTTCAGCATACATGGCTCCAAGATATCAGGACCCTGGTTCTTCATCATCTCTCATGAAAATCTATGTCGTTCTGAAGCAGACACGGTTGATCCTCTTGGCCATGGTACACCTTAATCAACCAGGGACTAACTATGGTAAACAGTGGAAACATATGACATCACCCCCACCAAAGAACCCAAAGTCTGGTCTAGGTTTTAGGATCGCTTAGGTTTTCTGCGATCGACTAACGGGATCGGGTGGTCAGGCTTGCTGACTTGGTTAACATAATTGTATCCCAGTTGCGTAGATCGATGCTCATGCTGTTGATCACTGGATTGTCTGGTCCAGACTTGATTATTTACAGACCGCCGCCATTGCTGAGCATGGTGTCAAAAAACAAAAAAAGTGTTTTCAGCACTTCCAAAGGAACCCAAGTGACTCTAAGTCCATTCATACCAAATATTATACAAATCATATCAGATAACTGTAAGATAATATGGAGGATGAACATCCTGTTAAAGTCAGTAAAGGTGATGTCTTCTAGCAGGTCTGCTGTCACAAAGGCCATCCAGCCATCCCTTGTATCCCAATATATATCTTTTACATATGTGCAACCCTAGATGTTAACACCCAATTTGTAGAACAAAACACCAAATACAGCCTTCCAGTCTGCTGACAGTCAGAAACGATACAAGTTATGAGAGGTTACTGAAAGGAGCATTACCACATCACTTCCAAACAGAAGTGTAAGTGACAATTGGATCCTGGGACAGAATAGAAAATAGATGTACTCCGCAGGATGACTAACATCAGATTTACATCAGTTAGTTTTGGCTCTGGCTTTAGGATTGGTGTTGGACTGCGATCCAACAAAAATAGACGGTGGATGCTAACTCGTGTGCTTTGTGCCACAGATCAGGTGGTGTCTGTTGACAGACTACAAAGATGTCATGTATCTTAAACAAGATGCACAAAAGAGTGGGTGAGTATGGTATTAAGCCACTTTTAGCAATATTCCAGCAATATCATGTTGGGGACACCAGAAATGAGCTTCACAGATAGTACCCAGGTCTTCAGTGTGACAAGCAGATGCTTTAACCGCTAGGCTAACCCTGGGCCCACCGCCCCAGATGCACAGATGGGTTTTTTTCAATAATGTAACAAATCAGAAAAATATGCTTCAATTTGTAATTCTTCCTGTGAAAAAATATTGAAGAAAGGCGAATAAAATCCAAGTCTGTTCCTTTTTGTGAAAATCCTGAAATTATTCTTAGCAACACTGTGCAATTTCAACAATTACACTAAACTCATGAAATAACTCAGCCACTTAATCCAGCAGTGTATTAACAAGTCCAATACTAGTTTATGTGATCCTGACATTAGGTTTCATCTTTATGACATATTTCAGGTACTACAGGTTAAGACAGGAGCACCTTTAGCCCTTTCTACTCCCTACAAACAACCATAAATGTATGGAAACGTCCTGTCTCATTACTGAATCTGTAGGTGTGGCCGAAGTGTCACAACGGATTCTACAAGCTGCATCTTGTACAGTTCTTGAAGCAGCATCCATCATGGTGGCAGTTCTCAGCTCTCCTCCAGCCCCGAAATCACCCACTCTATCACCAACACCTGTACACAACATCCACTTCATCACCACACCTGTACACAACATCAACTTACAGAAGACAGAGACACAATCAGATTCAGGTAGTTTATTGTCTATGCCAGGTGCGTGAAGGACAGATCTGGCAGAACCAGGAACTACATGTCACATGAAACAAGTCCACCCTACTCAGGCCATCTCACTGAGTGAGTTTGACGTGCCAGCTTGATGTCAAAGCAGAGATGCAGTGATGCAGATCTTTGATCTTCATTGAATTCATGAGCACAGAAGGGCAATGACATTTTTAAAAATCAAAATCAGAGAAAACCAGGGTTCAAACTTATAATCACAGGTTTGGGAAGCCGAGAGGATATCTACAAAGAGGACTGCAGAGTGGATGAGTGAGACACCTCAGCCATCACAGTGCCCCTCACATGTATTAGCAGCAGTTACATGACACATGTCAATTGAAGGTACAATATCTAATTAAGTTTAACAATCACATACTAAACAAAACACATGCTAGTGAAAGATGAACCAATTTATGACCACTAACAAACCAATACTGGCACGACTAACGTTTAGTTCTTTATTTTGTGACAAGTATGTCATGGACAGGAACTCAATTGTGATGTCATATCATTATGATGTCACAGTGGCCCTTCTGATCTTGCTGCTGACTCAGATAAATAGAGGTGCACTGTTCATTCATTCAGCTGCATAATTACTGGTGCTTAAGGTGCTATAGACTAACAACTAGTCTCTGAAATGAACATATTTTACTGAAAAAAAGTTCATAGTAAAAAAAATATAATGAAAAGAAGCCCTGAGACTTTCTTCATTTTCAGCTGAGGAAATCTAGACTTGCCACATTTTCTAGACTTGCGTGGGCTTTCTTGGATATATTTACTTCAGGGTCTGTACGACAGACTAAAGGTGCTACTGAACATACCTAAGTCATCAAAGGACATCAGTAAGTAAGCATAAAGGTGCAATGTCTGACTGATGCACTGATGCAAATCATGCCATGATGTTACAATGGTACTACATTACAAAACAAAATAAGTATGTTAGGTCATTAAAAATGGTATGGAAATATAATGTGAAATTCTATCCTGTGATGGCATATACAGTTGATCTCTAGCCAACAAGGATGTATTCATGTGCTGGCTTTGCGGAGTCATTCAGCTGATACAGAGACACATTTGTACACAAGTGTCAGTTCTCCATGCAAAGCATCACACATGATATTTCACCCTCACAATATCCATCGTATCGCCCACCACTCCCAACTGCATCACACGACAGACTAAATACTACCACTACGCTAACACAATACCTTACCCATGGCCCCCTCACCTGTTGGAGAAGTAACTACGTCCAAACCTCAACCAAAGCCACTAACAGGAGCCTTTAAATTAATCTGTCTCTCAGACTCTAAAGAATAAAGTAAGAAATGAACCCAAATCAAGTCTAGAATGATTTGGCAATTCTACATTGACGAGTTCTGCAATATGGCATTGTTCTAGAGTCCATTTGGATTCCAGTTTTTTTAAAAGATATTTTCAATTAACACAACTTTAAATGTTAGTCGACCTGTGCTATCTACACTGCACCTTCGGGACCAACCATGTAATATTCTGGAAGTTTTTACAGATACAAGATATATTTTTAGTCACAGTTTCAATAAAAAAATTTTTTACAATGTCATGAAACAATTTTTAAGGACATCCCTATTGTCCATCAAACAATTTCGTTTGAGCATAAAACCTGAGGGCAAATCATAAAACAACCATCCCCAACCTTAACAACAGATAGCAGGTCCCTTAGAAAATCAAGGTCTCTGACTAAATAGAAATAAATATGAACACATCAGACAAACAAAATGGTAGAATAACACAATATTATCAATATGTATTAGTTAGTTTATATCACATGTTAGTGATGTTTATTATCAAATTGGTACAAAGCAATTTTCTCTATCTAAATTGTTGTCTCATGAGTATTAGCACAGTAATTACTGGAAATTATCAGCAGGGAGATACATCTCCATATCACCACATCGATGTGCAGAAACACTGCAATATACACACTGGATCTGCTTCAATGCAGTTGCCGATGTCGTTCCGGAGGTGATCAAAGGAATGAAGCACAAATGTCATCCACATCTTACAACTGCCAAAACAATCAAATATAATTCTGAACTGGTTTATGATGTTCTGTGGCAAACGATTCCATGCTAGAGTGAATCAGAATGATGTCATGTCACTTTAACCAATATACAAGCAATATCACAGCAGGGAACTCAATAAATATATTCACATATGGAGCCATGTGTGGAATCAAACCTGAGTTTTCTGTGTGATAAGAAATTAATTAAAACCACTGGGCTAACCCTAGTCCTTGTTAAATATTCAGTCATTTTAGTCCTTTGGCTTGCAGTTACCTATGTCAATATAAGGACTTCATATTGCTCAGGCTTAAACTTCAGGGTACGAGTACCTTTGACTCAGATTTTGAATTTCGAATACTTTAACACCGTTAAACCTTTTGAATCCAGACTTATCTGGTAATAAATTATTCGACAATAAAATGTCCAACCATCTAATCATTACGCTCCTTTTGTGATGAGTCAAAGTTTTCCAGATACTCAAGTTACATTTCTGCATATGCACCTCCCAAGATGGGAAAGTGAGAGCTATTTATCATCGTATCACCCAATATTCACACTGTTACTATCACATCATAACTTCATAATTTTAACGCAGTGATTGCAGAGTTTATTCACACCGAGCATGTTGACATTTGGAGATTTGGTAGGTGGGATGATAAACCAGTTTAATTGAGCAAAGAAATTCTTAAAAATCACTATCTATTCATAACAGGAAGACGACTGGCCTGGAGATTAAATGTAGATTGAAATGTCAGTTTTGATATGTCAACAACTTGTTACAACCAGCGAGGTCTGACACAAATATTAAACAGATAGGATGCTCAAGTACAGCATCACCGTCCACCCAGCAATGTAGTGTCTACCACTAGTTGCCTACAACTAGATGTTATAAGTGTCGTCTGCTTCCAACTGAGATTGCGTCTGCTCTGACTGTGGTGTTAATACAAACTGTCTCCAGACGACACTACAATTATCAAAGTGCACTTCACTTAGAGTGTCAAGTCATAATGATTTAAGTGTCTGCTACTACTAATGAAATAAATGTTTGAGTTAGACAGATGAAATATTTGTTTCCTTTTCATTTTAATATTTCGAGACAAATTGACATGACTATCTGAATACATGGGGTAAGCTGATACATGCATGGGCTGCCAGGATTTGGGATGCATATCAGCATATTTTGAAATGTTGAGGAGCTCAATTATTTCATCTTTTGAAATACACATTTCTTCAAGAAAAGGCCACTGGTATTTTTTTTCTTACAATGTAAGGCATATCCAATTACTTATTTATAAATAAAGCTGTGGCTTGAATTTTTTTTATTGGGAAAAAGTCCTGACCCTGATGAAAATCGAATAGTTCCTCCCTAAAATGAGTCTTGAGGCCTTGGGGTATTCTGCTATAATATTTTATTCTTGGTATTTTATCCTTAATTTTAAACACTGTCTACAAAACAACATAAGCATTGAAAGAAGTGAGTTAAGAACAAAGCCATTAGATTATCTTTTTCAATGTTCGAAGGCATATATCTATAGTTGACAATATATGACATAACGTATATACTCAAGAAAAATATAATGGATAATATATATTTTGTTTGAGGGATTTGTCTGTATCAGACTCATTCATTTTACAGGGAGATTCTTTCTGAATTGTAAATACATGTACAATGAAACTCAGTGCAACCAGTTTAGGACCAACAGAGTTATGTCTGAAAATATATCCTCATCATGTTTTGGTTGAGCATAGACAAATATCAATGAAATTATTCACAAGAAGCTATCATGAAATGATTCACAAATTATTTTGATGGACAAACACTGTTTAAACCGTGGCTTAACACATAAATTATACACATAAACACCTTCCTCCTGCTGATGTGTCAAATCTTACATCGTTCAAGCTAAATTTGCTGTCTGCCTCAGACGGAAGTGTCGTCTGCTGCTGTAATAACCAGCATCTGTTATGGCCGTAAGTGCAGGCTGCTGTGCTGGCACTGACAATTGTTGAGTGGACAGAGGATGTGACCTGTCTGTGACAGAAGACGACCTGGTCAGGGCAGTTTGCCATTTGTAACTGTCTAGTTCTTGCCTGGATCTTCCTTCAGTGTCACTGTGCGGTTGAATACCATCTGCAAAGAGAAGTTTAATTGTAACTTGGTGATTGGAACAGTTCTTCTGTTTCAACATAATGATACATCAAATGAATGAGTGAGTGAAAGAGCGGGTGAGTGAGTGAGTGAGTGAAAGAGTGGGTGAGTGAGTGAGTGAAAGAGTGGGTGAGTGAGTGAAAGTGTGGGTGAGTGAGAGAAAGAGTGGGTGAGTGAGTGAATGAAAGACTGGGTGAGTGAGTGAAAGAGCAGGTGAGTAAGGGTGAAAGAGTGGGTATGTAGGTGGGTTGTCAGTTTGAATTGGTGAATGAATGAAAATTGTTCACACAAAAAAGCAACAAAAATCCCAGCACAATGTCACATCTAGACGGATGCTTAGTCTCTGAATATATATAAATCTGATACAAACATTTCAATTGAAAACAATCTCCAGTGAGCTCAGAGATCTGTCAGAACCTGAGAAAATCTTGACTTGCTTCATCTACACTTTCTGCACTGCAGAATGGATTGGTTGGAAGGGAATATGTGGTTCAGGGACTGTGAGACTGACAATGCACCTTCCAGAAATGTCTGGTGACATGGATTTCTACAGGTCAGCAGGGCCACCTAATGTGAAATAGCACCAGACTCAACACTGACAAATAAAACACTCCTCCTGATCTGGGCTGCCTGGTCATCTGTTGACTGACAGCTTCTGCTGTGAGTATGTGTAATATAGATAGTACTGTCTAAGTTTGCTCTCATATGACATCATAATAAGAATTATCTTCCAGGATTACATTTATCTGTATTTTACACAAAATAACATGAACTGAATATGATTTTGCATGTTTGAATAATTTGTTTAAGCTTTGGGCATCTTTTGAGACAAAATTTGAAAGAAAAGCTTGAAAATAATGAAAATTAGTTCACTGACTGATAAAAAAGGCAAATTCTGCAATTTTCCACAATTCTGCACTTAGCTACATTTTCTGCAAGATTTTCTGCAATTGCAGAATTTGTCTACGACGGTTAATCTCTAAACATAGACATGCCTTTAGGGCTCAATAAAGTGATAGAGCAACAAAATCCATTACCCAAACGCAAGCCACGTTTTTATTTAAGTTACACATATATCTTCACGAAAGCTAAAAGCGCTTACAGTAATTAAAAAACCTGACCCCTTTGATTAGGGTATGAGTCTATTCTAGCACCCAGCTTCACCAATATACCCTGGGTAGTCACAAATACTCACTATTACTAATGGACATGATTTGCCACAAGTCCTAAAAGTCAAGATTTCTCAAGGGAACCCTTATCACAGGCAAAGGTTATAGCCAAGGGAAATTGGCCCCCAATGGCCCCTTATCAAGCCCTTCAGATACATATCAACCTGTTGAATGACTTTCCCTGGACAGGAGGTGTTATCGTATTCATCAGAGCTGTATTATTCATCGTGCCCTGGTATACAGGGAAGGCCATTGGTGGGATGACCAACTGATAAGACCTTGTCTCATTCGTGGAGGAAATATGGAGACAAAACAGGCACTATACTGTAATTAATTGTGAAGGCTTTTATGTGGAGATCAAAGAAGACTAATACCAATTGGCTGGGATTATCTGATATTTTCCCATTGGAATTCAGTACTGTTTTCTCATTTGTTGGGCTGATGCATGGCAGCCTGTGCTTACAGTCCGTTTGAGTCAGAAACGGACCGATGAATTGCAAATTTTATCATTGTACAAAATTGCCACATAAATATAAATAGTACACATGTTTATCATTTACTAATACCCAACAGCTTTCTTATATTTGAAAATTTTCCGGACTCCACCAAAAAAGTTCTTTAAGAAACTATCATTAAAATTTTGACACAGTTCACTATTTGTTACGAGGGAGGAGTGCAGAGAAAGGGACAGCCAGGTGTGCGAGAAAGGATGGAGATGGCACAGCACAGGCTAATGAATCAATAACTTGGTGGGCACTTGTGCACGTGCTTCTCTAACACCTGGCTGTCCCGTTCTCTGCACTCCTCCCTCGTAACAAATAGTGAACTCTGTCAACATTTTAATGATAGTTTCTTAAAGAACTTTTTTGGTGGAGTCCGGAAAATGTTCAAATATAAGAAAGCTGTTGGGTATTAGTAAATGATAAACATGTGTACTATTTATATTTATGTGGCAATTTTGTACAATGATAAAATTTGCAATTCATCGGTCCGTTTCTGACTCAAACGGACTGTAGTTTAGCTTGGGTAAAAAACTTCCATTGCCCTTCATATTCATATAAATTCAGTAATTTTAAGTGGGACAGGCTGATCTATCACTGGTACTGGATTATGATAGGTTTATCTCTGTCTACGTTCAGCTAAATTATGACTTATCTCACAAAATTGAAAATATATTTATCATATTTTTTCAAATTCATCCACACTCAACATATTGACATTTATTGGTCAGCGTTCCATTTACATTGGTAAGCGCATTGACTGGTAATAATTTCATTTCAAGAAAACCAAATACTACATTCATGTATGCTTATGACACAATAATATTTGTCCCTGCATTGGGCAAGTCAGCATTTTCTGTTTCAAGTAAAAATCCATGCATGAAATTATAAATGAATTTCCAGATTTCTATTTGATGAGTGAGTGAGTTGGGTTTTACACTGCTTTTAGCAATATTCCAGCAATATCAAAATGCAATATTACAGCAGGGACACCAGAAATGGGCTTCACACATTGTGCCCATGTGGGGAATCAAACCTGGTGTAATGAGTGAACACTTTATCCATTTGGCTACCCAACTGCCCTGATAGTTGAGTGACTAAGAGAGAAAATGGCTGGGAGAGAGCAAGTGGTTGAGTGACTGATCTTAAAGCTCGTTCAGCAGTACTCTCAGTAATATCATAACAATGGAAAAAAATACTTCTAATTTTCTTCTCTTCTTCATTAACCATCCTAAGAATGAAACCAGGGTCCTTGGCAATCAAGTCAACACTTAATCCACCCAGCTACCACACTGCCTGAACTTCAACCAGCACAACCATGGAAATCAGTAGCGGTGAAATCCTGGCAATGATCCCTCCTCCAAATAAATCCAGTTCTCTCCTTCATTCCACAGTTGGAGATTTATGAAGATAATTCAATCTCTCAAACCAGATGAAGATAGGCAGACAAATGTCTCATAAACACAGCGGAAAAACTAGATGATCGAGAACTTACTTCATCCAAACTCACACTCAGGCATAATTCAATCAAAAATTCTCTCCCATCCTTTTAACAGATATCAACAATAAAATGTACGCACTAATTCAATATTACAGATTACGATCATAGAAATCTGGTCAGACCAAAATGCAGTGTAGAGCTTATTGCTCATGATCTATCATTAATGAAGACCAAACCTTTCGGGAATTTGCAGAAAATGACAAAATGATTGGCGCCATCGCCTTTTTTCAACTGGGTACAAATAAAGAAAGCGACATTGATAAAAGAGGGGTCTCTAACACTGCCCCGTAGCCTGTGATATTAGCAACAGGGATGGAAACAGAGGTTTTCCATTATGCGATTCCTGCTAACTGTGATGCTACCAAGTCTGGTTAATATCAAACACGGAAATAAACATGTCTTTTTGCTATAATAAATGGGAAACACAATTACATTGGATTTTCTGCTTCGCCTTAAAAAGATTAGATGTACACCCGTAGTAGGAGCTTGTGGCAAAACTGGCTCGTTTTGGAAAATGTGCATTTTTTTCTTCATTTCAATTTCATTTTGGAAAAAATCAATACTGAAATTAAATTAAATATCATGTTCATGGGGCCTCCACCAATGACACCTCGTCATCATCCCACCATATGAAAGTCATATAACATAAAATTTCAATTTTTCAAATTCAATTAAAACTATATTAGTGAATACCATTAATTTTTAACCAATCAGAACTAAAATTTTTCCAGCTTGAAAAAGCAAAATTTGATTTTCAACTCGAGGAAACAATACATCATTTATAAAAATTGTATGATGTTATGTCAAATCTAACACAATGCCAAAAAATGGTGCGAGGAGAAAAACCAGAAAATCTACAGGGGATAAAAAGAATGAAGTTTGTACAATTCTTGACAGGGGGCCCCAAGTACAAGAACTCCCCCAAGGAAAGTCATTTCCCGAAACTACATATTCCTAGCCTTGATATGTCAAGATATACATTCACATAGTCCTCAAGTCTGTTTCGATCTGTTTTCACAAGCCGCAGTTTAAAAGCTTCCCCTCTTGGGACCACAACAGAGACTAGAAAGAGAAATTCTTAAGTCTCCGCAATGTGCTGTTTTAACCCTAAACTGCCAAGCCCTTGATTAGCTCAATATGTTATTTATTGAAAACGTGTTGCGATATAGGCCCAGCCAGCCCAGATTGTATGATAAATATTCATTATTCCTTCAGTATTGTGCACAGCGATTTCCGAGCCCAAATTAAATTCACAAGGGGAATAGCTAAGACAGAAGGTCTGACGCCTGTATTGGGGTTCATTCCGTCAGTTTGCCATTTTCACCCAGTACACATCCAGAATTAATTGTCTAATCATTGTTAACGTCAGTAATCATATTTGCATGAATGCAGCAGTATTGTAATGTTTCGAACTGTGTTGTTCTAGTGTTCAAGCATCCCTGTAATCGCATGGAATAATTAACACCAGGGGCAGTATTTGTTGACATTTTGTTGTTGTTTGAGTGGGCCGAACTTGTGTATACGTCAGCCATCTTGTCTGGTGTTGTTAAATCAATCAACATTAGGGCATTATATCGGAATCAAAGTGTTGTCGCAAGTGGTTATTAGGCCACAAAAAAATAATTATTAGATGTTCATAAAAAACTTTAAAAAGTGGCTTTTCTGAAAATACAATTTTAACAAAAAAGGCAAAGGCCTACACACCTCAGCCAAACCCACGACTCTTAATATTTCTTTGTCCCTTTCCCCAACCAGATGAGGAAAATCATCTGTCGCCATCATTTTTTTACACTCAACACTCCTTATTTGTGA